TTTTATTCCATAAAAATAGATCCAAATTTTATTTTGATTTGATTTTATTATAATCTGGTTTCGTTTTAATCTGGTTTTGTTTTAATCTGTCACATTTATTAAATTTGATTTACTGCGCCACTTACTGCGGCCGTGAGCTCAAACTCACGTTTCATCTAGTTTATTTTTGTATCAATATCGAAATAGCGAAGCTAATAAAGTATTTAATAAATGTATAATGCGTGATTTTTTTTTTGACTTTTGGTCACGTGATTTTTCTGGTCTCACTTTTACAGATCTGGAAAAATTATTCCCGCTATCTCGATTTTTTTCCAAATCTCAGTAAGGAAACAAAAACAAATTATGCCCTACATATATTAGTCAATTATCTTGTATTGGAAAGTTATCCGGCGATTAATGGGTGAGATTTTGAGTACGTGCCACAGATGTTCGATCAACATATATCACATGTTATATCACAGAATAAATTAGAAGGTCATAGAACTTTTCATGCATGATGTAATCGTGTGACCTGCTGATTGTTACTATAAATTCTAAATCTGATTAACCAACTCGTGGCATATGCATTTTCTTTGTGAAAAGTTTTTCGCTGTGCATTGCATCGCTCCAGTTCCACATTCTCTAAAGCTACTGTACTTATACCTAAATGAGACAGAAATGGGTGAGCGAAAATATTTTAAAAGGACAGTATATTTACGTTGTGGTTGTTTGTCATTTTTACTTGTACTTTGTTCTAACATACGTAAACATGTCTACATTATATGACACTATTTGCAATTTTCTTCGCATCGCATCCCCAGAGCATATTACAACGTTTTTGGTGGTTTATCAAGTAATGAACGAAGAAGCATGGATTGCAAAAGAAACTTTAAGACAACTATTACATCAATCAATTTCAGCAGTTTTGCCTTCATACACGCCCGATTCAGACAAACACCGAAAGCTTCTTGGATTGCCGTTGAAGATAATAGTTGAAGTTCACTGCTAGAAAATAATTTCGATTATATGATGATTAGCGCAGAATAAAATTCTGGTAACTGAATCGAAGTCATATCCAAAGCCATGTAAGCCTAGGATTGTTCGTTATACGTATTGATCCTCAGACGCATGGGGGTATATTCGAGTCTCAGTTCAGAAGAATATATGTATCATGTGATTTATTATCTATGTATTGGTCACACATAGTTGGTAATTTTGCATGATAGAAATCTGACGTGTGCGCACATGGTTTTTGGTATAATTATATATAACAACTAGATCTAACATAAGTTCTTCTGCGCTAGTTTGATGATGCCTTTGAAGGAGTATGTAGTCTTCACGATTTTGAAGTTGCAGGACAAGAAGAAGATCTACCCACCGAGAAGATTGAAAATAACTTGCGAATATTGAAGGGCAACCTTAAAAAAAGTAAAGCTCGATACGCCAAATCTTTACGAAAATGTGTAGGTAAGGTTAAATCTTCAGAACTTTCATGGCACGATCCACTCGCAAGTCAGGTTCTTAGTAGTGAAATGGAGATGATTAAGCAATTACCGAAAGAAGAGTATGAGTCTTTCATGGTAAGAACAAAATAATTCATTTTTGTGTGATAAAGATTATGTTTAAAATGGATATATTACTAGGAACCAGTAAAATACATGCAAGCATCTCCACCTTCTTTAATCAAACCAATATGCGATGAATTCGTATCAAACTATGACGATGGTACTATGAAGATTCCCCCTCAAAAACTTTCACATGTAAATTGGTGGGAGAGGGGAGAGGTCCTTAGGAATATCACAGTTAGAATTCTTGAAACTCTGTAAGTATAATACTGGATCTATTTATTATTAATTCATTCGTAACTTTATATACTATTTATTTTTTATACTATAGGGGTGATATTTGAAAAAATCCAGCTTTTAGCCCTAAATTCGCTAAAACCCAAAGTGAGGGGACATATGTGACGGATATTATTGTTCCTATCATTCGAGCCACACTAAAAAATCTACCAATCAGAAAATCTGCATATATCAGCACGTGAGTAAACTTTCTTATTTTTTTCTTCTAAGGGTATTATTCTATTTACATTTCTTATATTATAGGGCAGAACGTCAAAGTGTGGCTAGCAAAGACAAAAGAGGTGAAAGAGGAAAACGTCCAGATATTATGTTCATAGTTAAGCATGAGGATAGAATCTATGAATTAATATTTGTCAAATATTTACGTATTGTTTGTGGTGGCACCAAAGAAGATGATGATAGAGTGAAACTGTGACGGGAACTTAATGATGGCTTATATTGGGTGAATAGAGGGTGTAGATTGATTGAAAATGAGTTCGGTATTCTTGGATTCCAAGTTGCTGGACAAAAGTTTAATCTATATGTTCTTATCTGAGATCATGAAGATATAAGCTGTCTATTTCTTTTACGATCTGTAGATATCCCGACGCAGTATACAGATAACAAAAAAGCTGTATTTGAATTTGTAGAGACTTTGTTGTTGCTACGAGTATGTATTCGTTTATATTCTCATACATTTATTTTGCATCATTCACTAACTTTTTTATTTTGCAGAGAATCTTGATCGTTGATCTGTCTTTGCTATTTAACTCTAGAACGCGTGGTAGTGATGAAGGTAGTTCGACAATATTTTCGTCCCCACCTAATACTTAATATTTATCTTGTATTTTAATCATTGTATTTTATCATATCAATAAAATTGGTCCTGGTGGCTAATATATCATATATAATTACAAACTTTGTCATTTTTTTCGTGATTCAAACTCTTCAAACTATCATCACGCGTTATTTATCAGGCACATGATAGAGTATTAAGTCATACATCCCCATATAGCCACACCAGGAAATTAATTATATGCTTGTAGTACATCCCGAAATAGATTTCATCCCAAAATAGATCATGAATGATTATCCCAGATATAGAACGACGCATTATCAGTTGCCTCATCATGATTGGGTAATCGCCATATATACACTCCTACCAATTATCATACTCCCCTTCTCACGCTTCTTTTTTTCTGCGAAAGTAATACTATTCTTCTTGAGTAGGACATCGGCTCTAGGGTTATTTTACCTTAACAGCTCGTCGAATAGTGTTGCTTTTGATTTCTCTGCCAATTAGTAATACACCGCTTTTCATTCCTATATTAGTATGTCGCAAGAGAAAACATCTAAGAAATTGTCACGTAGTGCTCGCTACAATAAAAAACGTAGGCTTAATAAGGAACAAAAATCAACTTTATCAACTGAGCGAAATGAGCATATACCAACTGTACCGTTGCCAATAAGCGAGATTCCCCCCAAAATAGGACTCGACACACCGTGCATTATTTTCGATTCAAACTGAGTATATATTGTTATATTGTTTTTTATTAGACTATCCCTCGTGTCAGGTTTTTTTTGTGTTTTTGCTCTGCAAATGATCGGTCATTCTTCTCCAAGCAATTATTGGGTATACTTAGTTATGTCTCTGGCTTTGTATATCTGTGTTTCAACAGACACGTAGTTATTATTTAAATAACTCAATAATTTGTTTTGGATGGTTTGTTCAATCCGCAAAAGAAAAATCTGGTTAAAGGGATTAATCTATTGTTAAATGACCATCTTTTGTTATTATTAATCTTACGGATATTCTATTACAATTAGCATTGAACCCAATTGGGGACCCGCAGATTAAGCACAGAAGATAAAATATTCTATATCGAGAAAGAATGGCGGAGTGTCCCCCTTACCCCATCAGATTGTATAGCGTCAAAAGGTGTTAAAAGTCGGGAAAAAGTTTCAGCTGAGAAATTGTTAATGGAAACATTAATTCGAGAATCTAGATTCATAAATAGTATTGAGCAATCAGAAATCCCACCTAATTTTCTAGCGCTTATCGACGATGAAATAATCAAAGGTAATCATATTAGTAAAGTGAAGTATCGAACTGAGAATCTGAATGAAGATTTATGGATCTCGCTCGGTCAATGGTTGGGGATGGAAGAATCACTCACAAGAAGGGAAGTACGTCAGCATCTTCGGCGTAAATGGAAGAAGCTCCAACATGCAATGGAAGTTAGAAGCAGTATAAATTCGCAAAATTCTCTGATTATAGTAAATGAATGTATCTTCCGAAAAACAAAAACCCAACTCACCATTTCTGCACATAATGATTTTCAATCATTGGATAGGTTATCTCAATTTCGTTATATTATTAATCCAGAATGCGTTACAGATCAGTATGGACGAACATTAATCCACCTCGAGATACTCAACAATCCAATCACGATAACCCAAGCAACGGACGTGGTGAATCATTATTATTTTCATACATTAGAGCACCCATCACACAGAAGCGAAAGTTTCTGGAAAAATTTCATTGAACATTTTGGCGTATTTGCTTTAAATAACCCCCTTCCCTACACAAGTTTGAATAGTGCAAGTAGTTATAATATTGACCATTTAGAGTGTGTCAACAAATTAATCCACGGTCTCGAACCACTGTCGATTTCCATTAATCGGTTTCTTCAAAAATATTACCAGAATTTGTATGAGAAATTAAGCAAGCTGGAATGGGGTGTATTTGCGCCTAAAACCTTCGGGATCTTCCCTATGATCGCGATCAATTTTAATACTATAAGCGATTTTTACTGGGATGAGCATGACGAGCCGAATTCACTATGTTGCTTGGTCGCTCTTGGAGATTTTGATGGAGGCGAACTTTGCTTTCCGCAACTCCAGATTATCGTTCCAATTCGTCCAGGACAAGTTGTTGCATTTTTCTCATGGCTCCTTTTACATGGCAATTTTCCTGTCACGAGAGGGATAAGGCATAGCGTTATATATTTCATCCATAGTATGTTCTTTCACCATCTGCGTAATTTTACTGAGATTTACAAAGATCGAAAAGATGGAATTGAGCGGGATGTAAATGGATCGGCCGTTCCTACAGTTTACCACCAAGACTTGAATAATGCGAATGGATTAAACTGGATAATCAATCTTGACAGACCGAAAGCCAATCAGATTCGAGTTCCACCATCATCCACCGATTGTAGGAGAGGGCATATCGGTAAGTAATTCTATTATAACTTGCGGGTTAAAAACAGATCTTAATAATCAACTATTTTTCTTTTAGATTTGTCGCATACCCGACGTGGTTTAAAGGCTGAAGATCCGTTATCCGATTCTGAATAGTACACTAAAGTAAAAATGTTATGTGGATAGTCTAGAATTATTATCTCGTAGTTATATAGCCACCCTGTGACTGCCTTCGGCAATAAATTTTAATCACGATTCTCCGATGTAAATATATCATGTCTCAAAGAGACGCCCAAAGGGTCTGGTTATCTGAATTAATAAAGATTTTTGCATATATTGTAAACATATCAATTTTTTCTTGGCATGTTCCACGAATTTCTATGCTGATCCTACCCATGATGTGATTGGTTGATAAATTTCTGACCGTTAACAGTTTTTTAATTATTCTGATTG